TTATATATTAATTAAGTAAATAAAAATAAAATTGATTACTAGTTTTAATATATTGTTGGGGCCTTCTTCACAAGTAACACGGAGACTACAAATATTAGGTATTGAGCAGAATCTACTGAAATCAAAGAGTTAGGGTTTTTAATGAACGGGATATGATCAAGCGTAACATAGAACATGTATACCTTCTAGTATATATCATTTCAAGACCATGATGATGTTATACACACTTCTTGACATGAACCTGTTTTTATATGGATTCTCTTTTGACATAACAGAAAACATAAGAAAAAACTCGTAATCTTTCCGTGTTATTCGATCTGATCCTATGAAATATTTGCCACATCGTTAATGTGTCCATAAACAGAGGCCTCAGGATAACAGACCACTTACAACTGTAATATAGCCTTATCCGGGTATAGCGAAACTCTGCTCAGACCGACTTTCCCGTCTCTCCAACTCGTAGATATTAGAACGAACCAAAATACAAATAATAACACAAAAAAAAGCAGCGGGTGTAGTAAAACAGGGACACGCTACCTCGGATACCGTGTGGTACCTAACACTTTTTCTAGTCATTTTACTATTTTAAAACCCACAAAAAAAGGCACTTTCAGCCCTACCATTGGTTTAAGGTAATTTTCAAATTTATAAGTTTTCTTTATACGGTAACACAATAAGCAAATAGGCTTATCTGGATCTTTTGGATCTCCGGTATAACCTATCTATACCGATATAACTTGATAAATACAATGAAGCTGACTGTTACTTATCTGCTGCCTAACTACGCCACTCTTCAAAGGCAATAAAAGGTTCGAAAAAATTCGCACTCAGTTTTTTCAAATTTTTACATTTAATTTATTAATATTTATTTATAGCAAGTTAAGAAATAAATTATAAATTAATTTGATTTATATTAAGAGCAGTTTAAAATTAATTCGATAAAAAAATATATATTATATTTGAATATAATTTTATATAAAATATAAAATAAATTATAATAATAAATAAAATAAACTATTTTTTTGATTAAAATTTTTTAAAATAAATATAAAAATTTTATTTTATCAATTTTTTTTTATTAAAAGTAATTGTGTAACAATAAAATATCTGCTTTATATTATTAAATTCTCATATGTAAATAGTAAAAATAGTACACGTATTAAGGTATTTATTTTATATTTATTTTAATATATGTAAATTACTTTCTGTGTTACTGGCATTTTAGAAAATACGGTCTTTAAAGTGTTAATCTTTAACAATACGATCTATGCTTCGTATTTTACGGTATTCAGTTCTTATTCAACTCACATTCCACAAATGCAGTAAGTTTACAATGTTTTGATGAATTTGAAATTTAAAAAAAAAAACAATGCTACTTCAACTGTTCTTCCACTGTTGTGTGCATTACGTTACACCAAAGAAAATATGAAAAAAGTAAAAAATTAAATATAAGGTTAAAAGGTCTTTTTATAGTATTAATAATACCCTCTCCCTGATTTCTTTCTGTCAAAGTAATCAATATTCTTATAACAATACTAATTATTTAAACATTAATTATTATAATAAAAAAAACAAGGTAGCACTTAGGCTACCTTTATAACGAAAATTGATATATGTCCATATTTTATGTTTTTCCCTTAATATAAATTTTGAACTCTCATCACGCTTTAATTATTTAGTTTTATATGATCCCTATATTTGTTTTTCTCTTAAACATATAACTCTCATGAATGTCATAAATAATTAATAATGAATTATGAATTATTAATAAATAATAATAAATTTTTAATAAATAATAATGAATTGTTAATAAATAATAATGAATTATTATTAATAATTTAAATATTATGATAGCAGTTCGCGAACAAATCTGTTAATTATAAAATTATTATATATTGCTAAATTTGAATATTGTGAACTCACTAGGTACTACACTACCTGGAAACTCAAACTTAACCCACATAAAATATCTACAATGACTCTGACAGGTAGGTAGACCGATCGCTCAAGACGATCCAAAGTCAAGAGCCTGAATATCAATACCACACCCGTTCAATCAGTCGACAAGTTCAAATACCTTGAAGTTGTGTTTGCACCTAAACACACCTTCTTCCAAAAAAAAAATCACAGGTCGTTCTCAACCATTAAAAAAACTATACATATTTATTTGTTAAACATAGAATATAAAGCATATAAGTTAAAGCGACAGTATCCCTTATATTTGATCACTATAGCATTTTAAATTTTTATTAACTTTAATTCGCATTACAAGCGAAACTCGACTTTAGAGTACTATCTGTTAGCCATATTTATAGATAAAAACGATTAATTTGAAAAATGCTTCCATATCATTTAAAAGTGCTTTGTTGCGGCACTAAAATGTTAAATTAAATTAATTGTTTAGTGTTTATTATATTTTTATGAATAAAGTTTAATAAACTAATGTGAAAAATTAAGGAGACATGAGGCTTATTGACCGCGTCTTATTGATGTTTGAAACAAAAATTATCTATGGATCTATATTTAATATACTTATTTTTATTTGTTTAAACATTAACATATAATTAAGGAATTACAATAAATTTCATATTTTCTTCATTTCGACTTTCATTGTACATATTTAAGTATTGTATTTAGAGAATCTAAATATATATGCAAAATTTCTAATAGCCAGTGCTTATGTACTTATTCTAATTAACGCTCCTTGTATTTATGTATGCCATCTCTGTTGTGGTTTCTGTAAAATACTACTCTATTACTCTGTAAAATACGCTATTACCATTTTCTATAATAAAAAATTTTTGTAGTCTTCCGAAGCAATATATAGTCTTTAAAATCAATGATTTTAACTATAGTTTCTTGATATGCAAGGACAGGCGCATTTTTTCTTTTATCAACAGGGACTTTTTCTATGAATATTAGCATCAATTTAGTTCAAAAGGTCGCTATAAAAATCTAGTTTTCTTTTTAATTTTCTAAATGTATCGATCAACAGAATTCCTTTTGTATCCAAAAACAAAAAATAAATGCCAGCACTTTCTTGTTTAATTTCTGAAGACCGTATCAAAGCCAAAAAACCGGGTGCATACCATTTTTTAACTATTGTTATTGAAAGGTCAATATTGATCAAATCGATATGCATTTTAGTTACCTTCTTTAACAAAGATCAAAAATCATTAACGATGCTCAAATTTTTTTTTTGTTGTTTAAAAATACTTTGAAGAATCTATTTTTAATAACTTATAACCATAATGAATTGGCAAAATTTAAATGAAATATTAACTATGTTCTTATGAAAATCAAATTATTAAAATTATATCAAAATTTTAAATCTATTATCGAAAAATAGATGGTGAGCTAGGAACTTATCAAGTAGTTTATGTAAATTAACAACTTAATATTTCGAAATTTTTAAGGTTAGGTTTTAAGGTTAGAAGTTTAGGGGATGCGATCTATTACTTCGCGACATAACATAAAATAAAAATCCAGTGATTAGCAAAGACACTATCTAAGGAAAATATTTTCTGGTGTACCTACACTCTGTAGCCGCAATCGTAACTAGATACGAATAATGAAAGACAACTAAAGTAATATCTGCGATAAAACTGTAATAATGTGAAAATTTCGGCAATAACTCTGTTATACCATTACGAGAAACAAGAGAGATAATATAAATTTAAAAAAAAAATGTAAGAAAAGGACAAACACTAATGCAGCACAATGGCGTAGCTATGATTGTACTAAGAGAGGAGATACAACAGAAAATATTTTCTTTCGACAGTGTCTCTGCAAATTAAAAGATTTAAATTTATTTAATTTATTAAATCAAGTTTATTTAATTTATTAAATTATTGAATTAAATTTATTTAATTTATTAAATTAAATTTATTTAATTTATTAAATTAAATTTATTTAATACATTAAATTAAATCTATTAAATTAAATTTATTTACTTTATTGAATTAAATCTATTCAATTAATTAAAAATAATTTCTCTAATTTGTATAAATTAAAAAAAGATCTTCTCTAATTTATCACTCTTTTTTCTTGTTTATAAAATAATTTAAAATATAAAATTTTGTATTTGTTATCCCCCATACATTATATTATGACATATATAACAATTTCAGATGACAAACTCTCAACTGGTACCTTCAATTTCTATAAGTATCGTTATATTTAAAAATGTATTTATATCTCACAAAAAAAAAATAATTTATGTATATTTTATGTATATATATATATATATAATTTTATTTTCATTATAATTATTTTAAAATTATTTACAATTAAGACATTTAACTTTTATTTATTGAAACATGTATAAAGACAAATTTTATGTTTTTAATAATATTATAACATTTAATTAAATGAAATAAATTCAACAATATTTTTTTTTCAAAGAAGTAAATCTTTAATTTAATTGCCATTTTACAATTTCACATTTTCTCAACAAAATCAAATTATTTAAGACAAGCAATAATAACAAATTCCGTTTTGACAAACTCTCCTACAATTTTTGGGTCCTTTTTAAACTTTGTACACAATTTGCAACCGGGCAAATTGGCAAAATCTGAACTTTTTCATGTCACACAAGCAAAAAACAGAAATACAAAAATAAGAAAAGGAAAATAAAAAGAGAAAGAAAATATTTTTGAAAACATAAAAAAACAAAAAAAAAATTGAAACTAATTTTCCAATTAAGGAAGTCACAATGAATTGTCGCTTTGCATACAGCAAAGAGCATTCACACACGCGCATACACTTCCTGGCTATACAAATTTATATAAACTAATGGTGTATGGGCGTGTGTATGTGTGTGTGTGTGTGAATATGTACGAAAGCGAGATGATTTTTTTTTACAATACAAACAAAAAATACAAAATAACTGCAATTTTCGCGAGAGCCTAACGAAAATCTGCAATGGCAATTAATGACATTTAATTTAAAACAATTATGCGATTTTTTTTTGGATATTTATTTCTTTTGGCTTCCTCTTGTATTCATTGTTCCCCTTGCATTACTTTCACTTCTTGCACTGCTTCAGTATTGTGTTTCTTAGTCTGTGCAGTCTTCGACTCCGTAGAGCAATTCATTCAATTTTAATTTGTTCTTTACTCCAGTGGGTGCACCATGGCCTGGACGACCCCAGTATGTGTCGAAAGTTTCGAAATGTCTGTTGCACAGTTCTTGCTCGAGTTGATGGGAACGTGTGATGGAACGACGTCTGTCCGTGATTTGCTGATTCAACTCCCGTAAATAGCGCAAGTCAGCGGCGGGATCTGCTGTCGCTAATCTGTGTAGCCGGCATTTTTGTGTTGTATTTGACGTTTTGATGTGTTCGCAGACACATGTTAACGTTTTATTTGTTGTAATTAACAGAGTGCGACATAAGTACAGACATAAGTTGTATGGTGAGTTCCGCGACGTTCACATTAGGTGGATTTATTTTCAATTGATTTTTGTTGATTAATGTTGTTGTATAGAATGAAGTATTTTTTTTGCATAAGTTTACTTGCTTATAGTGATTTTTATATTTTTTATTTTATTTACTTATTTTTTATTATTATTTTATGATAATTTTTCCTATATTATATTGCTTATATTTTCAATTTAATTAATATTGCTATTGTTCTGTTTAAACAGATTTTAGAAAATATAAACAAAAAGAAAAATGAATAGAAAATCTATTGGTGTGCTTACATACAATATATATTATTGCTAACAAAAATGAATGATTATGCTATGATTATGTTATGATTATCATATTTTCATATAAAAAGTATATTGAACTTGATTAAAATTATTCATTTTAATATAATACACATTAAGAAAAAATAATTGAGATTTTTTTAACTATAAAGGATTTAAACTCATTATTTGTTCCATAATTTTGAAACATTGATCAGAAAATAATCCTGCTCAATAGATAATATATAATATTAGCTTGCTTTAAATAGAAAAAACAAGCACTGAGACCCAAAGAAAGATATGACTTTCATACTAGCAGATTTGTATAAATATTTTTTTTTTGTTATTAAATTTATTTTCAATATTTGTATAATTCATTGCAATAAGATAAAATTTAGTACAAAATATTTTCTATTTTAACTTCTTGAGCAACAGTATTATATTACTAATAAACAGTCTATCATTATATATGTAGTATGATAACTTCTCTCTGTTTTCTTTATTTATGTAGGATAATCTCGTCTACAACCTCTTTTTTCTCTCTTGTGATACACTCTAATTGACCACAATAATTAAAAATAAAATTACGCTATGACTCTATAAGTAAATATTTACTTATTTACTTACTATCCTCTAAATTCCTGTTATAGTATAGGGCCTTCACTATTGATCTAAAGCAGAGCTGTTCAGACCACATGCAATCGCTGGCCTATACCAATCACTCTATAGATTGGAGGAACGCAAAAACAAATACATACGTTCATAGTTGCTTAGTTTTATTAATTTATCAATTTAAATTAATTTATTAAGTTAATTTATTTAATTATACTATATACTGTAGCAGATTAAAATTATGTCGCGGGCCACATAAACATTAGCAGCGGGCCGCATGTGACCCGTGAGTCGTGCTTTAGGCAACCCTGATCTAAAGCATACACTGATTATACTGTTCTTGTGACATCATTCATATCCAACTTCATTAATTTCTAGTCAGCATCATTGTTACTATGATAATCGTAAATCTTTAGTTATATGTAGTTCAATAATCAAAATCGAATGAGCATTTTGAACACTGGACAACCATTCCAGAGAAAAAGAACTTCACAGCAATTAAAACGAAAAACAAATCTTGCTAACGAGCAATCCATTTTGGTAACACAATTATAATTTTAAAGTAATAAATAATTACAAATATCTAGAGTCGTTTTTTGATTAGTCTAATATTAGATGTTTACTTTCTAATTTTTTAAAAAAATAAACCCCAAATAAAGTCTTAGAGAATTAGATGAACTAAATGCATATCAGAATAACTGCCACAAACAATGATGTTAAAATTGTGGTTTGTGATTACAGATGGAAAAAGAACGGTTAGGCTTCCCCAATCTTAATTGCGTGCTATTTGATTTGAGACGACTTAGCGTCGTCGAAGTTTGCAGAACAGTTTCAAGGAAATGTAAAAAAAGTCTACCTAAAGTCTACATAAAGTGAAATGAGGAAAATCTACATAGATATGGTGAGTTAATGTATTCCCGCCATATCATATTGTGGAACTTTGTTCCCAATTGATTCAAGTGAGAACGCAGTCCGTGAGTCTTATTAGCCGCTTTGGATCGCTTTGATGCGACATTCTCGTTCCTACCTCTCTAACTTAATTAAGAACTTAATTATCCTTATCTTTTGTATTTTATTTCAAGTGCTTTTATCAATAAATTTTTATCTAACTATTTCTATCTATTAGTTTACTTAGTTCAATATACTTTAAATATAATTTAGCAGTCAAACCTAAAATACAAATTACAAGGACAAACACAACTAAGCCAATTATAAATTATTTTAAATTTTAAATACTCTAAAATCGCTAAAAACACACGTTAATTTCTTAATTTCAATTGAATAATTTTTTGTTTTTTTGTTTTTGATATATGAAATCTTAAATTTTGACTACTCACAAATATTTTACAATTCAACTGACTACAATTATTTGGAATACGAGACACGATTAATGCACGATGAATGCAACTAAATTAGAATTGAAATTGAACTGCTTTGAAAGGCTTTGAAATGCTTAGCGTAAATGCAATGTGAACTTCTTTAAGCAACATGTATTGGTGTTTTCTAGTTTGTTGTTGTTGTTGTTCTTAATAGATGCGTACCTATCATGAGATGCAGTCCGTTTCGTTACATCAGTACTGGACAAACTAATGGGACGATTTTTGGCACGTCGACGTGCCAAGAGTGGCACCAACTCAACTCCTCCGCCTGGCAGATTTGATGTGCTTGTTGTGTTGTCTGTGGTCGTTCGGCTGTTATCTACAGCACCTGGAATAACATCTGGCACGCAACGACGCATAAATCGTGGACATATCTTACCAGTTAAAATTGGATTAGGTTCTACTTTTGTTGGAGAACTATGTTGTGGTTTTTTATGTGTTGATTTGAGTGCACCAGACATCATCGCTGGACATGTACAAGTGCACATTGCACAACATCTCTGCAACTTTTTATTGCTACGCGATTTACGAAAAGTGTTCTTCTCAGCAGGTGTGGCAGGATTGTCTTGATCAAGTTCCTTTAATACTTCTTTATTTGTCCAACCCTGTAAATTGATGAGTATGAGTTTTAAATTATTCTTTTTGATTGTAAAAAAATATTCAAAATATTTATTTGAGGTAACTTGTGCACCGATTCCTTGCGTGAGTGAAATGAAAGGGTTTACTTTGTAATTAAATGATTTAAATCTAATAGGGTATACATTATCGTATACATTACTTCATTCCTTGAGTCGTAAATGTTAGTGAAAATATTTTTTTTTAATTTTTAATCAAATTTATATAAAATGAAGAAGTTGATGGAGGTTCTATGCTATTTGAAGGGAAAAAAGTACAAAACACTTTGATAATATTTTGTGAAACTAGATTCGTTTTTTTTTTTTTTGTAAATTTTAAATGATGCTAAATTAATTTGGGACTGCTGAGCTAAAATCTGCAATTTTTTTTTCTGCTACACATCTGAGTCTCTGGCCATAACGAGAATTTTAAGCTTTTTTTTTATTAGAAGAGCTACGAATTTTATATCTTCCGTAAATTTGCTGCGAATTAACAGGCTTTGACATCCTCTCCCGAATTCCCCTCCTTTCTTATTAATAAGCGGGATTTCTCAGATTGATTGATTTCAGATTGATATCAAGAAAAATATCTTTTTTGAAGAAGGAGGAGAGGAATTTGGGGAAGATGATGAACGTATAAAAAAAGAAACAAGTATCACAAAACAAATTGTAATCACATAATATATATGATAATAAAATTATTTGTATTATATATATAATAATTACCTATCCTTTTGTCAGAATTTAAACTAAACTTACCATGGATTTCATGAAAGTACTTCCAGCTGCTTTAGGACTACGCCAAGGCTTACCACCTGGTCCAGGTTTACCCCAAGGATCTTTACTACCCTATAATTGGTTAACGACAAGAAACAAACTAATAATGACACTGTTACATACAATTAGAGTTCATAGCTCACCGCCTTATCCATTTTGAAACTTTGCTTTTTCTTTTGTGGACTTTTTGTCGCCTCACTTTGTTGTGCTGGCGCCAATGGACATTTATCTGTTTCAGTTACTACAATTTTTTCCAGCATGGGTTTTCCTTTACCAATAGTAGGTTTATAACGTACTTCTATATCGACATGTCCTTTATCACGAAATGATATTGAAGGATGATCTTTAAGTGTGATTTTTAAACTCTCACCATTTTTGGTTTTACTTGGTACAGTAAGTGTACCAGGTCCTTCCCGCTCACATATTGTCACAGTACTACCAGCAATTGCTGGACGTATTGTATCGGTTATATGATGAACTGTATGTGCATGTGTGGTGACACGTGGTGCATGATGATGATGATGATAAATTGCAGCAGGATCATGACATTTTCTATGTTTGGAAAAATAATCACTATATCGACACGGTGGTTGTAAAGATATCAAACGATTTGGCATGTTCTGTAAGTAAAAATTGGTTAAAATTAAAGAATATATCAGATTATTGTATATATTTACAATTGTTGGTGTTGAATGCAAACCAACGGCAGTTATATCTTTGCGTCTAACATCTACATTAGGTGCTCCTCCACCAGGACGTCCCCAAGGGCAGTGTTTTAAATAAAGGTCAAAATACTAAAATATAAAAAATCACTATTAAATTATATAAATAAAAAAAATATTTCAAAAAAATAATACATATGTATAATAATTTAAATTAAATTTGTCTATTAAAATATTCACTTAAAAAATTAGAATCATTTTCAGCAACAACAACTATGTATTTGATATTATTTTAATTAGAATTATTAATTCAAATATTTAATTTACTATATAATTTCAAGCAAATATTTTATTATTTTCTTCAAGTATCTTAGGTTAATTTAGTTTTTATTATCTTTAGTTATCATGCTACCAAGGTACCGAAACTCTTCAATTTTATCGATAACAACAAGTTAATTTTCGATAACATGATCGATTAAGTTTAAACCTTATTCCATAGGGTTACTTATATTTCTACCGTAAGAGATTTTAAAGTGGAGTTTTTTACTATATGCAATCCGAAACATATTAGTAAAGATTTACTGGTGATATACTGATCTTAAGCTTCCAATTTTTAAACATTTAACACATTTTGAAAGCGTCTAGTTTGCCAAAAATTGGACGACCGTTTTTAACTACAACAACTAACTGTATAGATGTTAATTAAATGTATGGTTCTGTTGCGATTAATCATGTCTCTAGACATCCACGTTGTTCTATACTTTTTGCTTCAGTGTTCACCTATAACTTTTTCCGCAGAAGTGAGAGATTTTGTTTTCTATTGATATTTACATTGTTATTGCCCTTGATTGTCAAATTCTAGGAAGAAGAGTTTTGTTTACAAGCCTTTAGCCATTTTAGCATGAATAGCCCTTACCAGTAACTATATTATCGATTTTGGAGTCACTAAATCTTTTATAGAATAGGTTGAGAGAATGCGCACTAACACAACTGACTCCACAATCACTCTGAGAAATCTCATAGCTATTGTAATGCGCTCAAACTTGTCTGGAAGAGGATAAAGCTGAGAACAACCGAAAGGTTGCCTTTGTTATCTCTGCTAAGCCAGTGAACGAACGGTTTTCAAAATATTAAAAGTCAACTCGTCAGTAGTCCTGGACAATGATGGGTTCTATCTCTTTTCAACTTGGCTATTACTTCTCATTCACTTGTTGGTAAACGTTATTGTTGAAGCATCTTTGCTTCTTGAAGCTCAAAATGCTCTTAGTTCAATTTTTGTCTTAGTTTGTTAGACTGATCGTTGTACTTAGTCCACTAGTCATCTGTCACCGCTATGATGACTTTTTCTGTGGTCCAAAAAAGTTTATATATCGTAGCTTTTATTGAAGCGTCAGTTCCACTTATGAGCATTTGAAAATCTCTGTCCACAACTCACCTGTTACCGCTATGGTGAATTCTTCTGTACATCTAATTAGTTCGCACATCGTGGTTTTTATCGAGGTGTGGATCTTGTTTAAGACTTTATTTATTTAATCTATGCACAATCTATTATGCCCTGTCACATTGACAAGGTGCTACCTTATATTCAATATAATACTTATTCATAAATTTATAAAAAACTTTTATAGAATTTATTTTATAAATGCAGACACTTCCAAAGATTCATATTATTGTAAACACTCTTTTAGAGTTATATGCATATAGCAGTGAGACCTCTTTAACCAAATTATTTATTATCAAATAAAAATTATCTGTCAACGATAAATATTTCTTCACTATACTTTTTTCTCTTTGGAAGGTTGTCTGATTTATTAACATTTATTAATAAATACAAATAAATCAAAAAAATATATATTAAACCTATTTTTACTTACATTCCCCACCACTCAAATACGAGTCATTAACTTTGTTTACGGAAGTTCGTGTATTTTGGCAGACTTTTTGCAGACAGAAACTCTGTTAAACTTTCATAAACGTCTGTGCTTCTTTCTCTTCAGCTTTCATTTAATTTTATTAAATTTTTTCTATTTTCCAAACTCTGGAAACTAAAATTAGACTTCCTATTTCCTATACGACTTGTTTGGAGTTTATAGGTTGTTGTTATAGTTGCAAAATGATACCAATTCAGTGTTTAAACTGAAAAGAGTCATACTTTTTGGCAATGTTATTTTCCTATTGCGAATAGACTCAGATTCAGTCACGCAAAGGACTTTCCAAAGGATTTCGTATTTAGGTGAACTGTATTTATGCCAAACTTTTCCATTTAAATGTTGTCAAATTGTTTGCAAAGTGATTTCGAATTTATTACTGTGCAGTTCATAAATTCGTATGAAAAATTGCTAAACACAAGTATATATGAGATACGTTTATTCATATTGAGGTATACTCGTATATATATATATATAAGTACCAAATCATATGCTTCAACAATTTGTAGGAAATTGTATGAAAAATAAGGCAGTTTGATATTTTTACAATACTAAAAAAGGTCCTTAACCTTATTGTTTTGATTTGAAGCATTGATAAGTGCAAATGTTGCCAGGACGATATTTTAGACTGAAGTTACAAATGTAATGGGAAAGGTTCAATAAAATATGAATTACAGGTAATAGTTCTTATCATTTTTATATTCAAGTATAAATTAAATTTTTTTATTGCCGCAATTTATTTGTATATAAAAGGTATTCGTATTAGTTTGTGTGACTATAAATAAATAACTACAGATTGTTTATATTCAATGAGATACATTTCTTATTATGTTATTGAGTGCTGGCTATTTATAATGATTTAGTTAAAATTATTTATTAAAAATTTTTATTATTATTATTATTTATTATTATTATTATACTCAATGCTTAGTAGATATTGTTCACAATGAAGTCTTATCGGGAATCTAAATAAATCTAAGATAATGATTTTCAGAAAATATCCTAGTGTAAGTAATTCGTAAAAGAATGTAGAATATAGTAAAAGAATGTAGAGAAGCAATCGACGAGCTAAATCGGTTGGCCGATATCACACTCATCTGGGTTCCTGGGCATAGGAACATCGTAGGGAATGAGAAAGCTGATAGTTTAGCCCGCTCTGATGCCTCCCTAGACGCGTCACTGGCGGTACCAGTTTATATTACCCTGGAGACCATCAAAAGAACTACCTTCCTTTACTTTCTGCAACTCGCCAATAACAGATGGAAAGCACTAAGGTCATGTGCAACTTCCAGGTTAACATGGTCCACCTATAATAAAAATAAATCCCTGGAACTGATCAAAAGAGATCGCGTAAACACTGCAAGGCTTATTGCAGTTCTTACTGGTCATTGGTGTATAGGAACTCACGCAGAGAAACTGCGTATTCCCCATAACTCTCACTGCAGAAGTTGTAGAAACCCGCAGGAGAAAGAAGCAATAATACATTTTCTATGTGAATGCCCAGCTCTAGCATCCAGAAAATATAGGTTCTTAGGAAAATACTTTTGTGATAGTTTATCAGACTGCTCAATGGTGAAGATGAAAGACCTATTAAATTACCTAAATTCAGTGGGATGGATTTAGTCTCTACTCTTCTATACTAAAGTTCTTGCGAGGAATGTGGTAACAAAACGGCGCAAAATCGCTAATTGAGGTACATTTGAAGTTATCTTATGACCTGCCACTGCAACCAACCAAGTAATTCGTTGTCGTTAAAATTCGAGAAAAGGCAAATAGAAATTCTCAATGTATATAAAAATAAACATTTGATCTCTAAAATCTCATTCGGTAAAAGTGCAATTAACTCCACGTGAGCAAAATACTTGTACTCATCTTAAAATAACTTTAATAAATAAATTAAAAATTTTCTACACGGCAATACGTTCAATTGTACTCTACGGTACCCAAGTTTGATATTACAAATACTATAATCAACTGGAAAAACACTTTAGATACTACCTCCACCCACTATTAACTATATGACCCACTTAGAAACTGGTTCACCAAAGCAGTTTGTAGACACAGTGCAAACACATCTCGCCTATGTAAGAAAGATTCTTAATATCCCCTCCACAAAGCTAACTCGAATACTAACTGAACATACAATTGACAAAGGCATATATTAGGCCATTTCATGATTTTTTATGATATATAGAATTTCAGCACATTGGTTTTTAGAGCTTTCTCTTTCGTTAAAGTATAACTATTTTGTCACCACGCACTCGAAGATAATATAGTAAATATTATTATTATTAAATAATAGGCTATGAATGCACCCCGACCTAAACGATCTATTGTGCGCAACGTACTAGATATAGGTTGATAAATGAGATAGTTCCTGTAAGATTTCTGTTCTGAATGTCTGTCAAGCTCGGTAATGTACAGATTTTACCCAATGAAATATATTTATTTACTCAGACAAGCGATCAAAAGTCTGTAATCATTAAGTAATTTTGCAGTTCTAAAGCGAGCACACTCAGACTGTAAAATATTAATGTATATCTAATAATTTCAATACATTAATGGAAAACGCGACGAACATCGCCGGCGATAACGCCACACTTATTGGTTCTATTACCTTATGTTTTATTGTAAAACCAAGAAAAACTTTATGAGAATTACAATTAAACACTATAAAATGCAAATTAAATGTTTAATAAAAAATTTAGAAATAATTTATATTCCGACTAAATATTTTGCATTAAAAAATTTTTCATCTTAACAAGGTATGGGTTTTAAGGTTAAAAATAATGGAGTTTGAAACAATGCACAAAATCTATTATATTTACTATACTGAAAACTTAATTGGCAAAAATTCATTCCTACAAACACACAGTATTACATACAAATATAAAAACTATTAAATCTATATCTAAAAACAAATGAGCTTTAAGAAACGAAGAGAAATAATTTTCTTCTTTTTTACTTTAATAATTTCTCAAAGACAATGAGAATTATAAATGAAATTCTTACCAATAAGATATATTGTTTAATTCAAAAATTTAATTAAATAAAACCACCACAAAAATTAATCTTTAGAGCTTTATGTATTGAAAATATCCCAATATAGTTTAATATATTTAATATTGTTTTCTTTTGTCTCTTATCAATAACTATTTTAAATAAAAAATAATTATAATTTTATGTGCACACTAAACTACATATTACAGTAATTAAAACTTATGCAGTACTTTCATTAGAATAATTCAATAATAGCACAATATTAAATTTTAATTTTTAATTAAAATTTAAAAATAATGAATTAATAAATGGTCGATATCAGCAATTAAACATTTAAGTCTTCATCAACAATATATCAGTGCTTATATCTCATCATCTATATCATATCTAGACATTGAAAAAAATTTTTTAAATTTTTTTTAATAGTCTTTTCATACACTATCTTCTGAACTTCATATAGTTTTATAATAACGAGACACCCACTACACACACGGAGATGAAGTACTAGAATGAGATAGATTTTTGTAAAATGTGTGGTGGAACGTCTACCATGCTTATTATTTTTCAGCTAGAGTATTCTTTGACACTCTTTATCCCCATCTTCACCTATACTAAGTATATATACGATCAATGAACATAGAATACAATGTAGGTCGTGTGCGAGTTCGAGTAAATTGATGGTAAATTGAGGGAAATAGTAAATTATGTCGGTATGGCAGCGAATGTTGGTATTTAAGTTGGTATATATACGAACAAGGAACATAGAATACAATGCAGGCCGTGTGTGAGTTCGAGTACATTAAGGAAAATAGTAAATTATGTCGGTATGGCAGCGAATATTGGTCTTTACAAGTATTTCGAGTAGGGTAAATTAGAAGAAAATTAGGTAAATTATGTGTTACCATAGTGGAAATTTTATAAGATGTTTAATAAATAAATTTAAAAACTTTTAACCAAAAATAATAAATAAATGCTATAAATAAATAAATAAATATTTACATAAGTGCAGTGCAAAAAATCCCTAGGAAATTTCAATTTACTTTTCCTGAATTTACTCGAAATCGCAGGATATAATAAAATTTTTAAATATAGTTGTATTGTGATTTTTATGCATAAAGCATTTTTCAGGTAGAATATTTTCTTTGACACTCTCTATCCTCATCCTCTCGTATACTATATATATATAGAATTAAAGAACTGCTTCCCATCTCTACATCGTTTAGTATGTAAACGCTCTGTATACTAATATAAAAATATATTCATTAACAATTATTAATTAAATACTTGCGGCAATTTAATTTAACAGATTTACTCGTATTTTTCATTTACTGTCCTTCTCTCTGTCTGATGCAGAAGAAAATTTAATTTTCTCCTCACTTAAAATGGCTTTGATTCAATATTAATTATATTAACAGCATAATAAAATTTAATTAACTATCATGAAAACATCACAAAGGTGCTGAACCACACATTTAATTACACGATTTCACGATTTCATGCCTTTGCTTTAATTTACATTAAAACACAAACTCACTGCAAACATAACATAAATATGTGTCATTACAGGATATGCAGGATATTATGCAGGATATTTTTCCCACAACACTTACCTCCTGTTTTTCACGTTCTTTCCGTGCCATTTCCTCAGCCTTACGGCGACGCCACATACGTAAACTTTCCTCAGCATTTTTACGCTCAATTAAACGTTTCTTCTCCTCACACCACAATAAAGGATGTTCATAGTGGTCATGACAAAAATTGGCCGTTTCATCACTTGTCGTCATTTTAAACTTCCAGCTGTTTTTGAATGGAATAAAATTTTAACGCGATCCTTATACTTCTTAACACAATAACATTCAGAATCCTGTCATTTTGTTCAATTTAATAGCAAAACAAATAAATCTTCCGGAAGTAAACGATTTGCTCAAGTACACTCACTAAACTGAATGGTATGATTTTCGCTCGTGCCCAAAGTACTAATGCAGGATTTCCACCAAAAACAAATTGTTCACGTTAAAAAAAGATAATAAAATCAGGAAAAAAACTCGTAACAAATTCATTGGTGGCATACAAATTTTCCATGGTGCCAGGTACCAGGTACGAGGTACGAAATGAAAATTGCGCGCTCCAAATCAATAGACGTTACCTTACAAGTCTCTGGTTCCTTTCATTTGTGTGCGTCGTTAAGGCAGCACCACTGGCAACAGTAAAGTGGCCGAATTGTTAGTCAGGTTATGTCTGCGAGGTGCTTCCGTATTTATAGCCTAGGATAAGGCGCACAATTGTTTACACATTGGCAAAGGTGCACGTTCATTTAGTGGAAGTTTCGAATCCTCGTTGAGGTTGCTTGAATTTTATGCATACTTTACATTAAATGTCCTTGGGTTAACTTTATATGATGGGGTAGGTTTATTGTTTTAGGCATATTCAAATATTGTTTTGACTTACTGCTCTAAATTGTAGATAAAAACTCAACTCAACTCAACTCGTACAAACAAATTTGTTTTTATTTAAATACTTTTCCTTTTTAGCATAAATACATAAATACTCGTACTCATACGAAATACAGATAAAATGCCTCGTCGAGAAAAGTTTGAGATGTTAATATTTTAAGATATAAGGATAAAGATAAATATAAGAAAGAATCTTTAAGCCCTTCTGCTTAAGAAGGCAAAAATTTGTAAATATTTTGTTGAGGCAAAAAAGAAAATAATATTTAATAAAATGCGCAAATTTATAGATAATAATTTTTCGTACATAAATAAAGTACTTAAATATTATAAATATTTTAATACAAAGACCATTTTTAAAAGAAATAATATGTACATATATATAAATAATTTTTGTATTAAATATTTAAATATTTACTTGACTCACATTCTTTGTGACTGTCCAGCAGTGGCGGAGCTAGACCAACTCTGCACGTCGGCGACATCAGAATTGCGAGACCCTCTTTATAACCCAGTTGTAAAAGTAAATAAGTTACATTCACTAATACGACAAAGCATGATTGAAAGTTTTATTCCTAATCAATTTAAAACAAACACAAATTAAAATAAATGAATTTTCCTACTTTTAGTATCACCCTATTTTTTTTAAATTATATCATAATGAAGATAGTCTCTCTTGGACCATCATATTTTTCTAGTACGTCTTAAACAATTTTAACTTTGCTTCTTTCTTTTCGTCGAAGCTATACTGACTGGAACTGTGAACATGAATCTGATTACTATATAAACATTAGGGAATACTTCGAATATAGTTAATGCCATTATCAAACCAAATTGCTCAAAATATTTATTAAGTGCTTAGAATCCACAGTCGGTAACTTTTTGCGAGGCCCCTGTGGGCACGAGGCCGTCGGCGGTCGCCGACATCGCTAACGCGTAGCGACGCCACTGCTGTCCAGCTTTGATGTTAATATCAAGATACATAAGAAGATGTTATTGCAGATAAAGTATACTCCTATGTTATCTACGTCAGATAGTTCGAAATCCTGAATTGTTCACCATTTCGCCTTCATTAAAATAGTTAAGTGTTTTGTGTTCAGTTAAGCTACGGATATAGTGAAGATAAAGATAAAAACGAAGTTTAATATTGGTTAACATTGATTGATATTGGTTGGCATCACTTCTTTTTTGTAAATTTTTAAAAAAAAGTTTGTTTTATTGAAAATCAATTTTAATCAAATATGTATTGGCCATTATTATTATGAACTCTTGACATTTTTCGTATAGCTTTTTCGTATAACTGCATTGTGTAGAATTTTTTGAGCTCTAGATGAAAAACTTGACCAATTGATTTCCACGCCTCTTTGGACAGCTAATATTTTACCATTTTACCATTGTTTAAATCGAAGCATACGGTAGTGAGATAGTGTAAGCTTCGGGCTAAATGGAGAATGCATAAAAACATCCCAACCAAGTTCTGTCAACTTGTTTCAAATTATCGAAGATATGTGTGCCCTGTCATTGTCGGGGTAGAACATAAATTTTTTTTCTGTTTGCCAAGTCTGGTCGCTTTTCTTTAATTGTTTCGTTTAAGCGATCAAGTTGTGAGCAGTAGAGAACCAAATTAACCGCTGACCAGGCTGGCACAAAATATTATAGACAAATCCCATATGATTACTATGGCACAAATTTTCGTTATATTACACATCGTCTTCATCTTCACTATGTTTGTAGGCTTAGCGTCGGATTGTTATATAAGAAATCTGCATTGATCCGTTGATAGCAATTATTACATATATATGATAATAATTTATTTTATATTGATTAATTAAAGAATTGCAGTATTGGTACTAAATGAAAATTAGAAAATATTTTGCAAAAGTAATTCACAGTGAACTCAGATAAATACTTGAAGCTTGAATGATATTATAGTTCCAAAAAAGAATTAAGTCTTATGCCGTTTTCGTTTGGTAAATCTGTGGTTACTTTTTCAATTATGATTAAGTCTGGGTGCAATTTTCATTTTCGATTGGTAGATTTTGAGCAAAATGTGTAGCACTGCAGATTAATTAATAACATTAAATATTTTGCTAGTATAGCAAGATTACTCTAAAACTAACTGCCGTTTTATATGACTACAAATTAACAAATAAAATATAATTTGATGGGATATATGTATTTGAAAAATATAAATGTCTACTAACACTACTACAGAAATGTTAGATTATCCTAAAAATATTCGAATGGGTAAGAAAATTTGATAGATCGAGAGTGAATCTGAACAGAATCCAGATTTGCCAACCGAAAACGCCATTAATCTCTTAAATAAAGGTAAAGACACTAAAAGTATACTCTTTGAAATAGGTTGTAATACCTGCAACTATCTTGTTTATTATCGATCTTGTCAAAATGGGATGCCAGCGATTGGGGGAGGCCTATGAGGAAATTCTTTGAAGGAGCTTAGTGGCAAATACTAATAATAAATTAATTTATATGTGCTTCACGCAAATGAGAATTATAATAGTATTTTATAGCATTTTATTTCTAATACCTTTAAACTTTTCTAAAAATGGTAAGACTAGATCATAGATCAACTTATTATTTTAAACACATGTTATACTTTAATATGCTTAAACTATTGTTGCTATATACTTTTTTTTAATATACTCAAAATGTATATATATATTCCAAACTTTCAGTATCTCTTTTTATTAAATTATTTTATAAATTAATTTATAATAATTAATTTAAATATTTTGAAGTGCCAAGTATACTCTTAATATATTCTTAAGAAGTAAGTCAACCTTGACTATAATTTAGTCACTACAACATCTCTACAACAGCTGTTTCGAAACATTAGTATTCATTGGCATATAACGCATCAACATATCGTATGTCCTCTGACAGGATAAACAATTCGCTTGTCAATTTAAAAATCAATGCAAATCTCACTAGGCATGCATATGTACGAGTGCTGATAAACGGCACGAATGCATTTATGTTTGTTTGTTCTAACTCAACTCAGTTTAATGAATGCAAATATTGTTTAAGTGCATAAACTGCAACACACAAATGCTGCATTCATGCACTTGCGTTTTTAGAGTTTTGCATACCTAAATTGGAGCAACGAAGCGTTCTTCACGCTTCCAGTCACGGAATTCATTTTTGTTCGGAACTGTTTGCATATTCATCTAATGTCAACAAGGGCCCCGATGGCAAAAGGTATTTCATTACAAGGCAAAATTACACGGCTTATGCGCTAAAATGATTTTGCAGGCGAACAAGCTTTAATCCTTTTAATCAGGATCATCAAAAGTGTAAGAGTATTGAAAATGAGTGCAATTCTATGAAATTAGTTAAAAAGTCATTAATTAGCGTCAGATAAGCCTATCAAATTTGACTTATGAACTAAAATTTGTTCTTTAAAAATATTTCGAACTTTTGCAATATAAAAAAATGATATTTTATTACTAAGAATATGGTAAGATTAAAATTTCAGATAAGTTATAGTTATGAAATATATGCATTTACGCTGTTGGCACTTACACACTTAATACACCAATAGAACCAACTGTTATTATTCTGGATGTCTGAAGAATCCTGTTCGTTTTGTTCCTCATGTGAGAGTGACCGACGTCTGAATGAACCACTGGCACCAGGACATAAGCTTAAACGATTTCGGATCTAGTAGTCTTGACGGGTTAAGAACATGTAATTAATTTAAGAAATTAAAATTGCGAACTAATAATATACGACCGTTAAGAGTGCTGTCCATTTATAAGACATGTTTTGACATTTTTAGCTTTTATTGTACTATAAAAAAAATCGTTAAAAAGATTAAGTACTGGATTCGATGATAGATACTCTGTGCAGTTACTTTAATTGAGAGGTTCAGTTAGACGTTTAGAAAAGAAAAAATTTTAAAGCACCCCAAACGATTTCTAAGAATTGTTGTTTATGAACTATTAACAGCAATTTTTAAAAGCAATATACTTAGAAGCGTTTAGCATGAGACTTAGTCCTTGAGAAGTTTATAAATTCTAATATCACACGAAAGTTTTAAAAAGTATGCTAAATGTCTTCTGAGAACTTCTTCTAATTGATCCTTCAATTCTAAAAGTTCAATGCTTCGTTTTGGAGTATAAAATTATATACGTACGCATTTCCTCCTTATCTGAACTAAGTCACTTTTTTATTTCCTTCTAGCTTTTATAAAGGTGACATCTTTGTCCTTTACCTTAAAAAAATCGATTGCACATTTTAAGAAAGGAATGAATACTAAATATCAATATTAAGAATATATTTTTAAAAAATAATTCAAGAAATTAATCAAGAAAATTCTTTATATGGAAAATGCTAACAAACACGTCAAGAAAAAAATTATCAAAAAGTTCATAGTCCCATCTTCATGTTTTTAATAATAATGTATTTAGTGCTACCATTTAGTGAAATCAGAAACCTTCTAGTTTAACAAATATTCTATTAACTTAAGAGAAGATTTATCACTTAATGTTCCATCTTTCTAACAGTTACGTATATTACACAAAACTTTTGTAGAGACGAGTTTCAGCGTATGTCTTCCTACTGAATAATGACCTGTACCAATTTCTTACTCAATGCTCCAACGATATATTAGCTACTATACGAAACTGTGGTTGAATCAAGTTTAACATTTTATCTTTCTATTAAATAAAAACCAATGTCAATCTATCACCCAAATTATAATATAACTATAATAGCTACTATATAAAACTTTTCTAGATTTGAGCTTAGAAAAAATATGGTTCTAAAGTATATTATTATGAAGAGTATTTTTTGTGATTACAAATATTTATGATCATTAATATGACCATTCTATTTCTATAAAAATTTTATCATTTATATACTATTATTTTTTGTAAATTTTTTTTTTTGTTGTAGAGTAAAATATTTATAGCGCCATTGCTGTATTAGAAAGTAAATAACTTATCAAGTTACTTACTTATTTCGATGTAGAATAACTCATAGATCTGAGTTATTCTAACCCGGGGTCTAGTAGCTCCTTCCAGCCAGTTCAATCATTGTCGTACTGTCGCTAGTTAATAATACCATTTTATTAGTCCCTTGGTCATTCAGACATATAGTAACACGTTTTCTACCAGTGGGTACCGAACTAAACACTCTTCTAACCAGAACATTATATCGAGTTCACATTATATCTCGGTTGTTCGGAGAAGAGACAGTATAACTTCTGTTGTAGCACTTTTCAGGTTTATCCAGATCTAGTCTTAAGCATAGGTCTCATTCCAGATCATCTTCTATATGGATATCAGTCAATTACTTGCATTTATCAATGTCTCAAGTTAGTTTCAAAACACTCAGTCCACTCCTCGAAATTGCAAGATATATGGAATTAAAAAAACTTGACATACTTGGAAATTTATTTACATACCTGCTTACAACAGCATTTTTAAAATAATAAGGAAAATTTTCTATAAGATTTTTTTCTTTTGTTGTTCTACTAATAGGTACACTTGCGTTTCTCTATTTTCCATTAAATATTAAAGCCATTCATAAAATTCAATTGAAATTGTTTAATTGTTATTATGTTCTGCCTTAAGACTACTACGCAGCACATGCATTGCAAATAGCCAAGCAAACAAACTCTAAACCCATTTGATTCATTTAGGATTGCACTCTGAACCGATATTTCACTTTTTTTTCCTCTATCTAACACTGCAGATTATTTGTTTTTAATTTTGCTTCATAAAAGTATCGTTCTGTTTAAACACAGATACAGATACTCTGAGTACACACTGAGTGAGTATCTGTGTGTGTGTTATCATAGAAGTATTTCCCTATAGCAGCTGCTCTCAAACATTGTCCTTGTGAAATACGAAATACTCGTACAATGCAAGCATTTATTGCACTGCAGCAGTTGCCCATATTTATGGTTGAACTACTCCTCTGCTTTGTACACTTATGTGCTAAAAGGATAACTATTTTACATTGCGGACTAATGTGCTAAAAGGATAACTACTTTTCTTTTGTATAAAACTAAAACTAAAGGCAAATATCAATATAGCACCATTTTAATTAATATTAATTGCCGCGCAAATAAAAATATTTTTTCTTAAATCTGACTTTTGCAATTAAAAAATTTTATTGGCAATAAACTATTGACTATTAATTAAAAAAAAATATAGCAATTCTTGTTTTTTTTTGTTTTTTACTTAAATTAAGTTTTTATTTAATTATCGTTTACCATTGTATATCATTAAAAATATCAACATCATTATAAACCAAAAACAAAAAATATTTTGCAGTTACAAAATTGTAAACATTATTAATATTTAAATTGTATAAATCTTTATAAAACAACATTTTTAAAAAATTATTTATATTTGTATTGTACTAATTTAAAAAACAATTTTTTATATATATATATTAATAATTTTAACATACAATTAAATTGTAAACTTTGACTAAGTGAACACAATTTTTAGAAAATAATAACAATGCGAATTAAAGTATTTCAATATCGAGTACAATCAATATGCTTAATTTACAATTAACATTATTTGTTTAATAAATTTTTAATTTAATTAGCTTAATTATATGCAAATATTCGCATCAAAATTTTATTTTAAAAAAATGTTACAAATTACGTTAATTTCTCTTTTAAAATTGCCACATTAAATATCAATAGAATTTATAATTATGTACAATTTTTACATAATATTTTTGTTTTTCATTGTGTATTTTTTTTATATTAAATAATTTTTTATAAATATAATATTATTTATAAATTAATTATTACGTTACATTTATAAATTATTTTGGGTTTTTTTATTATATATTCTTATAAAATTATTTTTCATATCTTCCATTTACATAAATTATATACAATTTTAAACTTAACTTAAATTTAGGTGATTTAACAAAATGTATTTTTTTCATATGTTTACCAAAATTTTATATAATTTTTGATTTTAATAAAATATATATAAATATTTTTTACATGCTATATGTATATATATATATATATATATATCTATATAAATTTTTGTTACATTTCCCTTCTTTACATTTGTGTTGCTTTAATTTTTGCATTTTTTTATTGTGTAAAAAAATTAATAATTTAAGCATTTCACTTATATTTATAAGTGAATAAATAAAAAACTAATATAAAACTACATTATTTTTGTCTTTCTTTGTTAGTAAATTTTGAGTTGCTATTATTATTTTTATTGTGTTCATGATTTTTATTTTTGTATTCTGCATATATATATATTTACATATATATTGTACATATTTTATTTCATACGATTAATGACTAAATCGGCCACTACTTGTAAACCCTTCTGGTAAGGTGACTCAGTTAATTCCTGCGCTAATCGTATCGCTTCGATGCAATGTTTTTTGGCCAAGAATCGTGTCTGTTCTAATCCATGTGATTTGTGTACTAATTCGAAGGCACGCTCAACGTCACCAGGTTCACTAAACCGTCTCATAATCATGGGATTAAGTTCAGGATACTAAAAAAAATTTTTAAAAATTTAATATTAATACTTTTACTTTGATTTAAATTGCTAAATAAAACAAAAAGGATAAAATATTATTTTAAAAATATTAATCAAATTGTATTTAAACGTCAGTTATGACGGCAGTGACTATTTTACTTAATAATAACTATTATATTTAATAGAGAGGTTTTGAACAGTAGAACGGCTAGCCAAAAATTTTTTTAATTATAATAATAAAAAAAACTTTTGTTATTATAATTCACTTTTGTTCGAAACCTATCTAATAATAAGATTTGTAACAGCGAGGAGCAACTGGTTTAAGAATTTGCTCTTCTATCAGTACCAAGTGCTGCGAACCATTCCCATTAGAATTTCATAATTCGTAAAAATATTTCGCAAAGTGTTTTTCAGATGAATTGTAGTTTGTTAGAACATTTACTTCATTAAGGTAATGTTATTATTGTTGTGGTAACCCGGAAAAATGTGCTAGTATAGTGCCTTTTGGAAATTGTGATACTGCATCGCCGATAGTACTGATTTTCGGGCCGTTCATGAAATGCTCCGAAGCCATTTGTCTACGACAAGTGCAGTTCACTAATCCCATAGAAGTTTAATCGTTTACAAGAATATTGAATTGATATAAGTCACATCAGAAAATTGTAGATTAATAATTTATTTAAATAAAGTGCTACTTGAGAAAGTTATTTTATTCATAATAAGATCGAAATCACAATATAGCTATTTTAATTGCTACCAACTCAATGTAGCACCAATAAATAAAACTCACAGAGCTAACAATGTGTTAAGCCTAATTTCCATTTCTAGGTAACTAGTAATTTAATTCTATAAATATAGAATATAACACTTAAAAAATATTCAGAACATTTTTATAGTCATAATTTAATAGTATGTTAATATTTTTTATAGTTATAAATTCTAATTATAGAACTTTTCATAAAAATATTAAAATAAAATTTATTAAAACAAGTTAACAAAAATTGAATACAGTAATAATATGGAAAATAAAAATAAGCAAAAATATAAAAATAAAAAATAATATAAAAATAATATAAAAATAAAGTAAAATAAAATTAAGATTCAAAACAAATATGGAATAAAACTGAAAAGAAGTGGATACAAAATTGCTGAAATGGCGCTTCGAACGCCATCTGTCAATCATATTTGTAATTAAAAACGAAAGTACTAACTATATTGATAAGGGCGCCCATATATAGGCCATTACAATATTAGGTATAAATTATAAATAGTTCGTAAATGGTAAGTGCAGTATTTTAGTGCAACATGACGCAATTCTCATTGATATACAAGCGAGTATCTGCCTACCTTTTTTGCCGCACCTGTCGAACTGCCAACTATTGACGCATTTAACACTTTTTTCTCCATTTTCTTTACTTTGTTTTTTTGAACCTATTCTGCTACTGTGCTTTCTTCAAGCAGTTTATAACAGTGGCAACAGTAGCCACATTGCCACATTAGTTGACTACTAAGTAATGCTCGACACGTGCATACAAATAATAACATACCTTGCATGATAATTAAAATAAATTAATTGAAAAAACGAAATTATTTTTTGTCTTCGATATTAATGTCAAATTCCGAGTTGTCTGATGTAAACCGAAAGCAACAGTATTTAAGTGCTATAATAATTTTTTAAACCAATTAATATAATTTTTATTGCTTCTTGAAATTTTATACATTTAATTTGCAGTATTTATGATGATGTTTCATAAAAATAAATAGTAACTGCTTTGGATGTACTTCCTTATGTATTTATGACATATTTATGACATATGACATACCATAATAAGTTTTATTAAATACCGAAAGTACCGTATCTAGACAAAGTGCAATCACAATTTTATAATTTGTTATTAAAAGTAAGTATAAGAACCATAGAAATGTTATACTAATTGATAGTCAGACAGCAATCAATGCACTCAATTGTCATCAGGTGACATCAGCTGAATGATGGACTGTCTTGATAAGCTGAATATCTATCACTAAAAAAGTGAGATATGAGTCCTATGAGTTGCGGATTACGTTGGATTTTCCATTAAGATTGCAAGAGAAGAAACAATTTCGTTGCTTGTAGATCTATTATGTAGGTTAGATATAATAGTAATTTTTTCTCCCTTCGCGCCGAAAGAAGAAGAGAGGGTTAAACTGGGACAATATACTAGTGTTAACACACTGACCAAAACTAGTTCAATAATATGTGACTTAATACAATAAAAAAAAAAAACAAACCATATAAACATAAATATTCTATGTAGATATTTTGACAAGGCCCTGTAGATTAATCTTGTATCTACAATATTATAAATTTAATGCAATGGAACTTATACGTTTCGTGAAGAAAAAAACGACAAAGAGAACTATACCTAGTATTGATGCAGATATAAAATAAATCTTACTTCATTTATATAGCTGAAGTCACAAATATTGTTAAATATCATTTAAATATCCATTAATTATCATTTAAATATCCATTAAATATCATTAAATAAATGATAGTTCATGTACTCAACTATATGAGTATGGTTAGAGGTTTATGAGATTCGCAATTTATGCCCAAAATCTTAATCAAGAGTTCAGAAATTAATCAGAGACTTGAAGATTAATTATGTTTGAAAAATTTTCAAACATTTTCGAAAAACTCCATTTAGTTTAAAATACTTATAGTATTTATCTGATCTGATGTTTATAAATCAATAACTTATTATCTTGCTATAGATTTTCTGATGTGGGCTACCTACTTCCAATATATAACTTTAGTTATTTAGACAAACCATATTTAATATATAGTAAATTGTATGAGTACATGTTTTTTTTTACCACCATTTATTTCACAATGTTTTTATAGCATTTTTCTCATTTCATTTTTATACATCAATACCTCATGTCTTGCTAAAAAATTGTCCCAACTATTATGCACATATTTCTAGGATCGACCATATTGAAGCAACCTATCTACTTCTGATACACAACAAATATTATGAAGCAATTTAGAGATAAACCATTGTATGACTTTTTAGGATTTTATGTTTTCTATGAGACCCACACTGCATGGACATTAAAGTGAAAGCTCGCAAATCGGAATATTTCGTAGTAATTAAAATGATTTCAACTGTTTATATTGACTATATAAGTGTTCTTATAATACCTATAATGATCAGTGAGTTTTACTTAAAAGTATTACCATATCATGTATTAGACTACCTTTTTCAGAATTAAAACAAAAAGAATATTTTTACTGGGATGTTACATTTGGCATATCAATAGATAATAGATGTAATACAATTACAAAAAATTGTATTAATATTCTGTTAGGGGTTTTCTAAAAAACCTTCAAATTACATGACGAGTACGAATTATCATGGAAATGGATTACACGTGTTTGTGCCTAATTAGCAAATCATTTTGAGAATAAAATAAAATTTGTCAGTTCTTAACAAAAGTTAAGAGATTTCCGACTTACAAATGTTATACTAATATTAATGTCTTAAGATATTTATTCAAAGAAAAAAACAGATTTACTTAGAATACAAAAAATAAATAAATAATATTAATGTTAATATTTAACAAAAAAATTGACAAAATTATTAAATTGCTCGCATAAAACTTAAGTGCTCATTGCCTATGCATATAAACACTCCTTTGGTCTTTTATTGTTTATATTGCCTAAGTACGTTTGTGGGTTTTAAACGAATATTAGTTTTATTTAAAATAATAATAAAAATAGTAAATATATGCTGGAGACGCATAAGGAAATGGAAATAATGACAGCAATAATATAAACAATGCGTAACATATCGAATTGGAAAACCTAATGAATTATATACATAAAATAATACGCAAAAAAAAACCCAGCAACTTTTTTTTTATATATAATTTTTTTAACAAAATGAAAAATGTAGTAATTGCAATAAAAATGCTAAATAAAATGACACAAATAATTTCACGTATATGCAAAGTGCATGGGAATGCAATTATGTGAAGCCACTAATGCATGTATTTTGGTCATGCACTTGTTATATGAAACACTTACCTTTTCGCATGCAAATAAGACTGGCGCCGTTGCAAGCCCCAATTTCAGATCAGCTGCTGTTGGTTTACCCATAGTCTCTGCGGATGAGACAAAGTCCAGCATATCGTCTACCAATTGAAATGCTAAACCAATATTTCTGCCATATTGGAACGCTAATTCTACAACATTATCATCAGCTTCAGCTATGACCGCTGTCTGTACGAGCAGAAGAAGAGGGAAGATTAACATTTTATGAAAAAATTGCTTATTTTTTTATGCATCATTGCATTTCAATGACATAAATTGCAGTACTTTGCCATCAAAATGCACGCATTATCCGTGCATTTACTCTAAACAAGTACTTACCGCTTTGAGTGCGTTCGCAATCAATGAAGCCGTCTTCCGGTACGTTTTTGTAAGGTAATGGGCAAATCGTTCATTTTCAGTTTCTTTTGAGCCAAGTTGCATGAATTCACCTTGAACCAAGTCCGTCAAAATCTAGAATAGAACAAAACGCAAAAGTAAATATTTATTTTAATTTTTTTGTTAACAAAATAATCGAAATATATTATTAAAATGAAAAGAACTATTTAAATATAAATTTATAGAATATAAACTTAATTTATTGTAATATAATTTATGTTGTAATGAATGCAGTTGTTAACACGCACGTAAACTACTTAATTTAATTAAAACAACTTAGCTTTTACATTTTAATGTTGATTATACTAAATGTTTTAGCACAAGGCTTTGTTATGGAAAAGAGAAACTTATATTTCTAATTAAAACAATAATTATATTAATATTTAAATTGATTTTGTATTTTACTTAACGAGTTATAACACCATCAAACATAAATATATGTATTTAATATTTACATAGAAATATTATATGTTCTAAGGTTGTTAACAATATTTCTGCATATTAATGTCATTCTAATTTTTCCAGTCTATTAACTATAAATTATTTTGAACTCTAGCAATATTAAATAATAATGTATAATAGTACCCTTCATTATAAAAAATAAATAGGAAATAATATATATAATAAAATTTAATAAAAGAAAAATGAGATTCAACTTCTTTGAAAACATGTTAAATAAAATATTAAAAGATTATTTATAATTGAATAATCTATTATTATTAATTATTATTAATAATCTATTATTAAGTTAAGTAATTAGATCTTTATGTAAGTGGAATAAGTAATTTAAATAACAATATCAAGTTCGATGGATAATCAATATTAATAAATAACAATATAATTAAACACCATATTAACTTTGTCAAATAACATGGAATAAGCATAAGGTAAAAATACAAATACTGTTATTAACATAACATTTTTATGCTATATGTCATGTAACATGACATATGTTATGCTAGTCGTAAAATTTTGTTGCTCATACGCTACGTGTAATATTTGGAATGAGAATTAATTTTATATAAGACAAACAACTTACTTAATAATGTTTTCTATTTTGATAAACATTTACTTGGAAGTATAACTAGATATTGCTATGGAAAGCCGTACAGATTTATAGTAGTATTCTTATGAACTTGTTAAACAATATATTAAATATTTATAACCTTATGCTTGGACTGGTAGTTAGTATAGCTCAACATATTTATTATTCATGCCGCAAAATCTTAGTATAATAAAAAGAAGCTTTATTTTCTATAATAATGTAGATCATGGGTTTTATATATAAATAATATATAAATATATAAATAATGCAAGTGATTCACTTTCTTCGGTTGAATTCAATCAATCATAATCCATGTTATTCGAAACTATTTTTATTTAAATACATCTAGTATGCAAAAAATTAAATTGCTGATTCCAATTTATTTATTTAATAAAAGAAATAGGGCTTATGTGTTACTTTAATAATACATTTTAAGTAGTACTTAATTATTTTCCTGTTATCTGTTACTAATATTTGATTTTTTTAATTATTATAGTTTTTTGTTAGTGTTATTATACAGCTAAGATAGTAATAAAACTTTTTAATCAATTAACTAAATGTTAGTGGAAGACCTCTAATTTTAATTAATTTTATTTTAATACTTAATTATATAATAATAACATGAAAATTAAAAATCAGAGCAACCTTCGTTAAAGTGTTTGAATGGCAAATTCAAAGCGATTTTAAATAACAGAGTTTAAGCAACTGATGTTTTATTTTTCTGTGTTAGATTTCGTCTGAGTGAGTTACATAGTTTGTGTTTATAAAGATAGATTTATATCCAATACAAATTTTATCCACCTAAATTGTTTAGATTCGCAGAAAGTCAGTATAAAAAGTTTCCTTTGCTTTTTTTAAAAATATAAAACCAATTTGAAGACAAGTAAACATATAGAAGGACAAGATCGGTTTACCGACAAGAAGTATATAGCAAAAATATCAGACAAATATGCTAAATGTAATCATTCAAGCTGTTAAAAAATTTTTAAGATATTTCACTTTCTATTGATAAAAACGTCACAAATTTGCCAGGATAGGACACACACTAAGCAAACCTATCGGTTTGACATCGCAAATGTGGCACTCTAATATAATCCACAAGGCAATAGACGACTTGCAGAAGGTCCACACTAAACGAAGTTAACATTAAAAATTTATAAGATATTTGACTTTATATTAATAAGAACGGCGACATGTAAATTTTGGTTCAACAGAAACAAGTACAGCAATATTAGTGAATTGCGAGACGACACGATGCAGTGCGGTAGCATATGACGCCGCACAAGACTTAATAATATAATAATAATTATTGACAAGAATCTAGAAAGTTTCATTCGTCTTCTTGGAAATCCAGGAACAATTTGAAGACAAACAAGAGAAACTAATAGAAAGATAAGAACTGCTTGCTGACAAGAAGAATATAACAAAAAAAAAAGACAAATAAGCATCAGCTGATCAAAAATGTATACAATTTATAAGATATGTGATATTTTCTTGATTAGCAGCTAGATAGTTCTTCTTTGACTATCTACATTCTGCTTTGAAATTGTAGGAATTGTTTAAAGACAATACAAAGAAGCCCATAAAAAACAAACAGAAAAATCAGATTATATGATCTGTCATACATCAGAGTATTTGATTTCTCATTCTGATCAACAATTTCTACGACTTATAAGATCTTAGAAGTTTTGTTGACAAGACTTTAGGTAACATAATTCACAAAATTTTAAGTATTTTGTTAATCTTTCATTTACCAAATACTCTTTGCATATCTTAATACAAAGCTTCACTTAAAACAGGGAAATACACAGACATAAAAGCAGGTATATAGTAGATCGCTAAATTAGATGAATTGATCTATTAAGCTGATCAAGAACTTTTATGATTCATGCAGTTGTTAACATATCTTTAACAACATCTTAAGCAAACTTAATTTACGACAATATGAAGAGTAACAATGTATTTGGTAGTATTCATTTAATTTTTGTTTGCTTATTTTCTATAAATACTAAGTCCTACTAAACGCTAAATCATACTTTACGTCTAATATTTATTAAATACTATAGCGTATTTTAACAATATTTTTTTTAAATTACTTATAGTATCAGACAAACTTAGGTTTTATAAAAACTTTTTAATAAATTATATTTCTTAGTTTGGTAAATTTATAACGTATTTAAAGGTGACTTAACCTCAAAGATATAACCAACTAAATAAATATTATATAACATTTGAAAACAATAGAATGTGGCTTCTAAATTTATGCCACATGTATGTAAATGCTAATTATAAGACTTCCGTGAATTCATTTAACTTAAACTACTCAACACATATTACTTTTCTAAACAATTTTTGTGCTAAAATTATTTTAACAAAATTTTAATAAATATTCACTTTCATTCGCTTTTAGTTTCAGTGAACAAATGCGTTCATTCATCTTTACTCAATGAGCATTAAATCACACCCAACAAAAAGTTGTAAACATTTTTGGCAAATAATAAAATTTTTTTTCTATATAAAAAGATATATTAAAGATGTGTACATATATGTACACTGCCATGTGAGTATTAAGTTTTTTATGTTATATATTTAAGATATAATTTTTGGAACCAATTTTTATAGTTTTGCCACTGTATCTACATTACAACAATTCGAATTTCAACGAATATTACAAATATGATTAAAATCCATTTATATATAGACGATGTTACATTTTTGGTGAAAACTTTGTAGCTCTGCAGGCAATCTTCAATTACAGACATAACAACAACACGTCCGTAATTAGACGTGTTATTCTAAAACAAGCTCAGAAGCAAAATAGAATAAGAACTTTTAAGCACTTTTACATTAGAGGTTTAAATGACAGAAACTGTAATGTATTTTATTTACAATATATAACATACAAAGTAAATGAGAATTACAAAAAAAAAAAAATTTTAATACTCAAAAATTATAATAACCTCAGAAGTAGTTATCTAACTGAACTTTTAAACATTACTTGCAAATTGTAAAAATTTAATAATTAAAATATATATAAAATAATTTTAATACTGATATATGGTAATACGTGAAACAGCTGGTCAGCCAAAATAGCTAAATTTTATTGTTTTAAAATTTTATTGTTGTAATTTACTACTGTTTTAAATAACTCTCTTTTACAAACAATAGCTTATATTAAGAATTTAGTTTCTTTCGTCAAAACTGACGTTAAAAATCAATTTAATTTTAGATATTTTATCAGCACAGGTGCTAATAGGTATATATTTTTATGACTTTATGATTCACTCATTGTTCTATATCATGTGTATAGATTAGATTCGATTAAAAGATCGAGTTTTGAAATAAATACTTTTTCTTGAAGTCATCTATTGCTAGATAGAGACGAGCTATTAACCATTCTTTAATCATTCTTTTGTGTGTTATTCTTCTTTAGTTGAAGACTATCAACGAAAACAACTATTGCATGTTATGAGTTTTAACTTCATGTGTTTTCCTTGCTAAGGTCTTTTGATTTCCAGATGAACTTAAGCCGTTTAGAGATGGAACTCAACAGCCTTAAAGTTAACAGGGTAGTCGAGCTACTAAACATTGTTCTCAATATAGTTCCCTTTTGTTGTTCTTGTTAAACCATTTGATCTTCCAGATGAAGTCAAGCTAATCTGATAAGTCTCTCTATGCTGTCTCTACTATGACAGTGTAGAAATGGTATAATACATATTAAAGTCGCTTTAACTGCTTTCTTGCTTATAGGCATAGAAAATGGAAACACTAAATCATGGACACTCGTCTACAGTCCATTCGGCGGTTCAAACATCGTCACTATAGGATAATAAATGGTTAATACTTCCGTAAGCACAGCAATAACAGGCTTGCTAAAAAACAAGTCTTTCGTACAAGAGAAAGTATACATTCGTTCTTCTCTTACCTAATCTACAGAATAAAGTTTTAACGACTGTTGTTGTCTCAGCCATTAATGCACAAACCATTTATCACTGCAGTTTTTTAATTTTTTTAGATAAAAATGTTTAAA